TAATTCAGAAATAAAATGAACTAAAAACAGTAAATGAATAAAATCGAGAGTATTTTCTTTAAAAATACTTAGTATATCACTATTCTAGGTTTTCTACCAATATGCATTCTGCAGCAGAACATATTTCCTTGATTGTATTTTAAGAACAAAACTGAAGTTTTCTGATTCAAGTTTCTTTTCAGTTTAGTATAATTATGGAGTTTATTAATTATAAACCCAAGAAGATAATTGTTTTAATTCTTCTATAAACACTGCAGATATTAAATCAATTATGTTGTTTTAACTAATTGACTCTTGACAGTTTTGTGCTCCTATGTGAGAGATATAATTACCTTGAGCAAAACTGAAAGGCTTTTTCTTAGGTTTGGAATATACACTATATTTTACACTTAACAATTTTCTTAGATCTCTCTTTATTTACATTAAAAAAAATCCATATGGGATACCTATATCTTCGTTTTATAATTATTTAAAAAGAAATATTTAGGAAGTCATGTTTTTTATAATGTGATACAAGATTGATATCTTAGACAATAAGATGTACCACATGTCTACCCAAGCAAAATGATGTATAAGTTATAAATAAGTAGCTATTTCTTATTTCCCAGTATTTCCCAGGAAATACCAGTAATTCCCGAGAATTACCAGTATTTCCCACCGTCCTGGGAAATATGAGTATTTCCCGCTTTTTTGCTAACCCTGCTACAGGGACAATTGATATGCAAGCATAAAGTTGTATGAGATCTAGACGCACTTTTTCCTATTCAGGATCCCAGTGTAGGATGAGTTATTCTTCTGTAAAAGAGAACAACCTTTCTTTTTTTTTAATGATTAAGTTTCAGTCTGATTTTGTTAAATGTTGGGGGAAGGAGCGTTGTTTGTAAGAGATATTTATAGAATAATCATTTTAGGCCTACAGGCAAGGTTTAATAAAGTGCAAAACAAATATCGTGAAAACAAAAGAGTGTCATTCATTTTCGCTAAGTTGGGGCTACACTACATCTCTGAATATTCTAAAGGAAAAAAAGAGCTTAGATTCGGTGGGCTAGAAAGAACAATAAATTCTTTAGATCGATTTAATAAAACAGAAGAATATAATTAAACGGAGTGACCTTTATGGTATACGAATTCAATCACTTTTTTTATTTATATGTCTCAGATAGGCAGATGGATAGACAATGTCGGCTTCGTCCCCGAGGGAACCAATATAACACAAGAGACAGAAGATGACGGGCTGAAGACCTTGGTCATCACCAGTATTTTTGTGAGTAAAATTTATCACGCTCTGCCTGTATGTTAAAATTCAGCTTGATGTCTATAATTTAAGAGTCATGACAAGGATTATGAGGTGGGTGTGATAGGTCAGCAAGGGATGCTCGCACCTCCAAGGCATCTGATCCAACCTCTGATGTTTTAGTTCTCCGCGTTTGCTCTCATCCTGATTTGTATTGTATGAGCTTGAATACTGTTCACTATCCTTCGTATATGTCATACAACATTCCATGTGTATATGTTACGTTCGAAATACATCATTTCTAAACCAGCTGTGAAAATGAAACAAATATTTAATAATTCTAGGAATCGTTCATTAATGAAATTACACACACTTTTTCTAAGCAGGAGAGGCCATTTCTTCAATATAAAAAGGAATATGAAAATCCGGAAAACAGACGAAAAGTGAAGAACCCAAACGACCTGTACGAGGGTATTTTCCATTAATAATTGTTTTAATAACTCACAAGTTTATAATTTTTCGACTTGTACAAGGGTTGTTCAATAAGTTATACAACGTACGGTTTTTTCATAATAAATGTAAAAGCAAATGACTTTCTTTATTGCAGTTTAGATGTACTATTTAGACTCATAACCACCGTAAAAAGCATGGTTTTTCTTACAATCTTCATAAAGAAATTCACTTTTCATGTAAGCTTGGTCACTACACCGAACGGAAAACTGTTAAATTTGTCTTTTCTACGGTAATTAAATGAAGGGCGTATAAATGTCGCTGAATAACCAATATGAAGAATTTGGTTATGATATCGAAATAGATAAGTTTTCCACGCTCTACAGTCTTCAGATGGATTTAATAAGAAATCTACGAAAAATAAGATTGCTACAAGACCTCATGCAGTTTGATCAAAATCTTTAGGGCGCCAAAAAAGTTCGATGCTTCGATGCTGTGAGCAACACATCTGTTAATTACTTTGAAAGAAGTTGATATTGTTTGTTTAACGTCCCTCTCGAGAATTTTTCTTTCATATAGCCAAAAGAAGTTCTAACAAAGGAAATATGAATCTAAAAATATTTCTTTTTAAGCTGAGTGCAACATTTCCTCACAAATGCCTAAGAGAAAATATGTGGTTTGTGTCAGTTTAACATAATCACATAAAGAATGCATGACAAACTTTAGTAATGTGTGTAAAGTATTAAAATATTTAATTCAATACTTAAAAAATGCAAACAGAGAGAAACTTGTCTAATTATTGGAAAGAGAAGCAGGAGCTGCAAACATGTCGAATAAGTTTTTCTTTTTATTCAAGAAGATTGATATTAAATGAACCCACACTGGAAGAAAGGGCCATCAATGGCGTTCTTTTGATAAAAATTGCACTGAAGATAGTTCAACAGCCATTCTGAAAGAGAAGTCTTAGTCAGGTTCCCGAGTTAAATTTCTTGTTGCCTACAACGCATCTGCAAATAATTGTAGAATGTAGAGGAATCATGAGGAAAGTAAGCTAAGAAAATCTCAGTAATTGTGAGATATTTTTATTTGAAAAACTCCAGGAAGAATTTACAGTTTAAGCTACGTGCTATTTTTCAGTGTCTTTTGGCCATCCTTACAAAACAGTTTGCTGAGTCTGTTCTGGACATTGATATAAAGACCTAGAGACGTGTTGAAGGTTAACAGGGATACCATGATGGAATAAAAATATGAAGAAATTGTTTATTGTAGTTTAAATTTGAAAATAGCATTTTTCGTTAAGTATTGAACGACCCTTTTACATATTAAACATTAAAATTTTGAACAAAAATCCATGTGTTTATATCTTTTAGTGTAGAAGTTAAAACTAGAGGTACTGTGAGCAATGAGCTCACTAAATGATACCCCCGCCTCCCATATGAATATAATGGGAATGTCCATGTTTTGCTCTGGAAAATCCAAAATATATGTCAGATAAAAATGTAAAATAAGAGGTGCACAATAGCAATATGTAAGGAAGATTCTGTGAAAGTTTCATTAAATTTCCTTGTATGAGAGGAGTTGCGGATAAGAGATGGGTACCCCAAAGCGTAACAGACGGACGAACGGAAATACTGATTACTATATACCCTCCCACTTTTCAAGCAGGGGAGGGGGGTATAATAATAGAGATTTTTTTATGAAATTACATTTTATTAATAAAATCAAGTACTCGCATAAGATGTTTGGAATAACAACTGTCTTGTATAAAAATTATATTTCAGGTTACTGTGTGGATCTTATTGCTGCTGTTTCGGAAATGTGTGGAAACTTCAAGTACACAATAAGACCAAATAAAGACTCTGTGTACGGAACCAAAGAAAATGGGACATGGACTGGCTTAATTGGAGAACTTGTTCAGGGGGTTAGTCATCTGATAGGAAACCTGCAAAATAATAAATCTTATCTTAAAAAGTCTAAAATACAAACTGTACATTTTTTTTGGGGGGGGGGGGGGTAAGTTTTAATATTCTGCAAATACCACAGCGGTTTTAAAATGAAATATATGGCAAAACATCCCAATTGTTAAAAATTCAACCTATTGGGAAAACTCTTTTTAAACAGAAATTTGCCTATCCATTGCCGTTTTATCGTCAAATCTAATCACGATCGTTCAAGAATAAGATGAAATATTCCTTTTAAAATGATAACAGGCAACAATTTAAAAAAATGATGACCCATCAAAATATATTTTCTGAGCAAATATTTGTTTCCTATATTTGTTTCAGAAAGCAGACTTAGCAGTTGCTCCCCTGACAATAACAAAACAAAGAGAAGAGGATATAGCTTTTTCTAAACCATTCATGAATAGTGGAATAAGCATAATGATCAAAAAACCTGAGATTCAGAAACCCGGGGTCTTTTCTTTTCTGAAACCATTTTCCATCCCCCTTTGGATGTGTATAATAGCAGGATATTTCTGTGTCAGTGTTGGGATGTTCATCGTCAGTCGTTTTAGTCCAGCGGAATGGAGACGGAAGTGTTTACGAATGGATAATGGTGTCGTAAATAAGTTCACATTAGAAAGCTCACTTTGGTTTACCATGGGGGCACTGATGTTACAGGGTAGCGACACATGTCCAAGGTTAGTCAAAGAAAAAGATTATACATATAGATCTCCACAACGACAAAATTGAAATTCGATGATATTCGTACTTCTTTTGTAGCATAGGTATTGTTACCTTTTTAACAGCAATTAGGGATATTCAAATTTTGGACAGGTCTGTAGCTGGACGTATTATAGGGGGAACCTGGTGGTTTGCTGTTTTGATTGTCATTTCATCCTATACGGCAAATTTAGCAGCATTTCTCACAATAGACAAACTATTAACTCCAATTCAAAATGCTGATGACCTCGCAGCCCAAACAGAAATAACTTACGGTACACTGTCTTCTGGATCTACGCAATCTTTTTTCAAGGTATGCAAGTTATCTCTCTCCATGTTTGTCCACAACAGGCACTAGGATTAGATATGTAATTTAAAGCTATTTTTCTGATTTTTTCTCAATTACTACAGGAATCAAAAGTTCCAACATATCAAAAAATGTGGGCGTACATGTCCACTGCTTATCCAAGTGTTTTTGTCAAGACGACAGAGGAAGGTGTTCGAAAAGTCCGAGATATGAAAGGGAAGTATGCTTTTCTATTGGAATCGGTATATAATGAATACTTTAGTCAGAGGGAACCGTGTGACGTTATGCAAGTTGGTCCGCCACTCAACACCAAGGGATATGGTATCGCAACTGCAAAAAGTAGAAAACATCAAGAACTAACGTAAATTATTTATATTTTGTTCATGTCGCTTACAAACGTATTGAATAAGAGTGTACTTTACAAAAATAGTAATCACATAATAAATTTCAAAAAATGTCCTGCAGGGAAATGGTATCTATAGCAATACTTCAATTGAAAGAAAATGGATCTTTGATAAAAATGAAAAGGCGGTGGTGGATTGAGAAAGGAGAATGTGGTGTTCAGGAGGAAAACCAGGTATGTAACATACATGTAGGGTCATAATCTACAAAAGACTTACTGAATTATGTTACAGAAGTTTCATTTAATTCCATCAGTATGTTGTCTTAAACATCAGAGAACAGAGAGGATCTTAATTTGAATTTTTATTTGCATGTATTTATATAATAGTAAAGGTATATGTTTTAAAAATTATGGAAATTTTAATATAATTTTTATTTTCAATAGAAACAGGGTAGCAAGAAGAAGAAGAAATCACTTTCATTAAGTAATCTGGCCGGGGTTTTCTTCATTCTTATAAGCGGTCTTGTTTTTTCTATCATTCTCGCAGTTATTCATTTCCTACGATCGAGGTCCAACAGTAAACAAGGGGTAAGCATGTCCTCAACAAAACTATCAACTTCGAACGAATTTCAACATTTCTGCCTTTACAAATGTAGAATGTTGAAGAAGAGTAATCTTAAGTAAAAGCATGAAAATTTCCTCTAATTTATAAAAAAAAAATGTTCATTACATTGAAATTTACGAACTTGTTTATTTTCGTTTCCAAGGGGTTTCTTATGCTTGGGAATGACAATACAAGTATGTATCCTGAATATACTACATATCCTATAGGAGAACATAGCAATGGAATGAGTCCAAAAGTGCCTAAAGGGGTGTGTCATTCTTTTTGAAAATTCTTGATACATTCTGTATGCTTGTTTAAGTTAAAAATTAATTCTTCATTCTTAAATAAAATTTGCTTATAAAAATTAATGTAAAGAAGAGTAATTATCAAATTATTCTTACACTTAAGTTAAAGATAGTGAAAAAAGAAAATATTTATTTTAAATTTAAGCATAACTAGTTTAGCATTGTTTTTTATGTTCCCCAAACGAAGTTGGGGAACATATTGTTTTTACTCTGTTTCTTATTATTATGTTCCCCAAACGGAGTTTGGGAACATATTGTTTTTACTCTGTTTCTTATTATTATTATTATTATTAAGGTCTTCCGACTTCCTTCGGAAGACCTTACTGTTTTTCTTATGTTTCCTATTATTATTATTTTTCCCTTTTCATAGTACACGAGATTTCTCGGAAACTACTGAACCGATTTCAATGATTTTTTCAGGAATGATGCATTTTTGTAATATCTCCAGACTTTTTTTTCATTTTTAAAAAAATCACTTCCGGTCGCATTTTTTGTCCGATTTTCATTTTTAAAATCGTCATTTTGTCCACGCATCTTCTTGTAAACCACTCAAGACTGAATCACAAAATTTTCAGGGATGGTAAAACATCTCTTTAAAATATGTATTACGTCTTTTGATTTGGCATCCGTCACTTCCGGTCGACACATGTTTAATTTCAAGATTTTTTGAAAAATTAAACCGTCGTGATTAAAGGCAAACAGAACTTATGTTTACATTCACAATCGTCAACAAAAAGCATCGATTTGAAGTACTTCCGGTTTTTACCGGAAGTTGACGAAAAATTTAACTTTCTCTCTTGAATAAAAAAAATAGAAAAAAAATGGTTAAATTTGAGTTTTTCTGGTCCTTCAGCTTTGATGTCAGCCGGAAATGAAGCCCGAATTGTTAAAAGTCGTCAAATAACGTCACTTCCGGTCAAACCGGAAGTAGTCAAAGAAGGATATTTTGGCCATTTTTGACATGTTTTTGGGTAACATATGTCACTGGAAGCAAAATTCTTTATTTTCCGTCCGTCGACATCACTTCCGGTCAAACCGGAAGTAGCCAAAAAAAATTTATTTTGAAGGTTTTGATGCAAAATTGAAATTATAAAGTCACTGGAGACTACTGAGCTCATTGCTTTCTTTTGTTGACGTTACTTCCGGCACTTCCGGTCAAAACCGGACGGAAGACCTACTCGTTGCTTTGCAACGAGCTTTGCTCTAGTTTTTTTTCTTATTTGTTCTCCGGTACTTTTTTGTCCGCGAGTGTTCTCAGAAACTGTTCACCCAACTGAGCTAAAACCTTTTTAGGGTTAATAGGTGTGTAGTGTAGGTGTGCGGAACGAAGGTCATTTTGCGCGCATACGCCTGCACGTGCGTGCGCGTGAAGTGAGTGAATTGACTGATATACTTAATATAGCTATAACTTTAACATTTTTTGATGAAATGCTTTGAAACTCATTACATGAGGATATATTAATAGTGTTAATAAAATTACACTGTCAAATTAGCACAAACTCACGCGCATGCACGTGCGCTTTGCTCTGATTGGCTGAAACAAAAATCTCAATACCTCTTTTGTTTTTCGACGAAATGCTTTGAAATTTTAAACATTGTCATGAATTAGGATATCCTACAATATAATATGGAAAAAAATTCATGAAATCACGCGCATGCACGTGCGCTGCAATCTGATTGGCTGAAACTTTAAATGGCTATATCTCCTTTGTTTTTTGACGAAATGCTTTGAAATTTAAAAGATAGTCACGCATTAGGATATCCTGCAATATAATTTACAAAAAAAAAATCCGAGAAATCACGCGCATGCACGTGTGCTGCAATCTGATTGGCTGAAACTTTAAATGACTATATCTCCTTTGTTTTTTGATGAAATGCTTTGAAATTTAAAACATAGTAATACATTATGATTTCCTACAATTTGATATAGAAAAATATTCATGAAATCACGCGCATGCACGTGTGCTGCAATCTGATTGGCTGAAACTTGAAATGGCTATAACTCCCTTGTTTTTCAACCAACCGGGATGGAATTTAGAACATAGATAAATATCAGGGACTCCTACAAGAAGGTATGGTCATCATGCACGTGCACGCACGTGCGTGCATTTGGAACGAGTGAAATTAAAAATACAGTTGAATGAGTGATTTTTAATACTTTTTGACTGAATGCTTTAATAAATAGTATATTAAAATATGTAGATTGTGTAGACAAGATGATATGGTCATAACGCACATGTATTCACATGCGCACGAGTGCAATGCTAAAATTTGAATATAATTGGTATCCTTCTAGGAAAAAATTGATAAAGTCAAAAATGCACAAAATTTGTCTTATTTAATGAAGCTTACAGGGAATATGGCACCAAAAGGGAGTTGGGGAGCGTTTGGGGAACATCTGTAACGGTCCCCGTTACAATTAGCACTAGTTATTATTATTATTATTTTTCTTCTTCTTCTTCCTGGGTACTTTTTTGTCCGGGAATGATCTTGTAAACTGTTCGTCCGATGTAGGTAAAACCTTTTTAGGGTCAGTAGACATGTTATGTAGATTTGCGGAATCAAGGTCATTTTGCGCGCACGTGCTTGCAAGAGCGCGCACGTGCAACACGTGAAATGACCAATATAATGGATATTGCCGTAACTTTTCTATTTTTTGATGAAATTTTTTGAAACTCATAATGTAAGGATACATTAGTAGTATAGACAAGCTGGCATGGTCAAAATAGCAAGAACTCACGCGCATGCACGTGCGCTTTGCTCTGATTGGCTGAAACTAAAGTCTCAATATCTTTCTTGTTTCTTGTCATAATCCTTTGAAATTTTGAACATAGTCCTACATTATGAAGATCTACAGCATGATATATAAGAATGTTCATGAAAGCATGCGCATGCACGTGTGCTGCAATCTGATTGGCTGAAACTTTAAATGGCTATATCTCCTTTGTATTTTGACGAAATGCTTTGAAATTTAAAACATAGTCATGCATTAGGATATCCTACAATATGATATAGAAAAAAAATCATGAAATTACGCGCATGCACGTGTGCTGCAATCTGATTGGCTGAAACTTGAAATGGCTAAAACTCCCTTGTTTTTCAACCAAACAGGATGGGATTTAGAATATACTAGTAGATAGATATAGAGGACTCCTACAAGATGGTATGGTGATCATGCTCGTGCACGCACGTGCGTGCATTTCGAACGAGTGAAATTAAAAAAACACTTGAATGAGTGATTTTTAATACTTTTGGACTGAATGCTTTAATATATAGTATATTAAAATATATAGATAGTGTAGACAAGATGATATGGTCATATCGCACATGTATTCGCATGCGCACAGGTGCAATGCTAAAATTTGAATATAATTGGTATCCTTCTGGGAAAACGTTGTTAAGGGGGGACCTATGTCGTTCTACGTCAAAGCAGCGTTATGTGACGTCACAATAGCAACGTTTGTTTTTTTCCCGCTGACTTTTGCAACTGTGATTATAGGCATAACATTGTTATTAATCAATAACGTAAACAGTTTACAAAAAGAATTCTTTTTCATCATTTATTACAGTTTTATTTGATTTATGGAGTTTGTTAATATTAGAATTCTCTTCCTTTGGTGGATAATTCATAGCAATTTCAGTTGTAATGAAATACCTCCATGATATGCTGATATAAAAGTGCAAAAAAATATCAGATAAAATTCAATAAAGAACGCGGCTTAAATCAGAGAAATATGTTTAATTTTATGTTTACCATTAACTGTATTTTCTGGATAAAACTAAAAAAAAAATTAAGGAATGTACTTGTACCTATATTTACTTATTGATTTATAGTATATGTAGATTTTATTGTATAAAGTCATTCCTTGGTTCTATTAGGTGTTGGTTGTTGACGAGGAAATGGTGGGGGGGGGGGGGCAGAAGGATTAGAATGAATATGAAAAGAGTTTATCTGTTTAAATTATTTCTAATCAAAACAAAATACTTGTTTTTTGCAAAATAGTTTTAAATTAAGATGTTTGTCAGTGCTTACTTACCTTTTTTTTTAGTGCAGAAAGGTCAATATTTATGACAGAAGAGTACGAAAATAAAAGAAAACGTCATATTTCTCGTTTATTTTATCATAAAGGTATACTTTTTTCTTTGTTAAAATAAAGAGAGGGATCCTTTCTTTCAAAAAATATGAATTACAACATTTTCACACAAAGACTTTTTAAGATATTGCCTGTTATGTATATCAGAATTGTAAAAAATACGACAAGGAAAACGGGGTAATACTTACATTGTGCTCTTTTATACTTTTCCATGCGAGATGAATTACAATGAATTTGCCTTCATTTTAAAGGTACAAGTCATATAAATTAAATACCTGTTGATTTTGAATGTGATTTGACATTTTTGGTACTTTTTAGCGCATATTTGGAGTAGAACAATAATGTCTGAAAATAGTCTATTTTTAGAATTTCACACTGTTTTTGCACGTGCTCTTGTGTAAAAATAAGCATATAAAGGTATTGTTTTTAATACCTAAAAATTAAGAGCAAGTGGTTAGGAAGGAAATGTCAAAGTTTTGAAAATTTCACACAAAGACTTTTCGGACATAGGTCCCCCCTTAAAGTCATAAATGCACAGAGTTTGTCTTATTTAATGAAGCTTACAGGGAATATGGCACCAAAAGGGAGTTGGGGAGCGTTTGGGGAACATCTGTAACGGTTCCCGTTACAATTAGCACTAGTTAAAATTATAACATGTTACGTTTACGTTATTTGGCATCTCTATACGAATACAATATATATTGAACATACTTTGTGTAACTTTTTAAAGCAAATCAGTATTGCATGATATCGGAAAAAAACACTTTATGGTTTATTTTTTAAAGTAACAAATGAACATTAAGAAATTTTGTATTGTAGATTTTATCCAACTCTGACAAGTTTGCCACGAACGATGAGTCAAATCACAGAGTCAACCACATTCATGCTACCAGTCTTCTTTGACACGTGTGATTAATTTTATATAAACTACACGTATTTTATTTTTATTCTTTACATTTTTAACACCTCTTATCTATAATATTTTAATTAACTTAGCAAGCCCATCGATAAAATGTTAATAAATTCTGACCAAACCCTCAAATATTTCCCCACATGGTCAAATTGTATGATTGTACTCTGACTGTTAGTTTTTTATTCATTAATTCCATATGCATTTTTATTGTGTTGCCTTTTGTAAACATATAAATTTTATTGATGAAATTTAGAGAAGAACTTAATATTTTTATTGTGTAGGACAATTCCAGAAATGAAAAAGATCTACTTTTCAATCTTTAAAAATATGCATCGGAGTACATCAAAAGTAGTATCAAAATAAACAGATGGCCTTAGTTTTCATCGAATTTGTCGTTGCTTAACTACTTCCATAAGTGAATGTAAGACTTGATTTTTTTTTAATTTTGTTTATGTTCTAATTGAAAGATTAAGGCGGCATATCCCCCTCCCCATTGTCAAATAACTATTTCGTACCTGACACGCTGATATTTTACATGATAATGACAAATTATTATAATTTTATGATGATATAATATTCCACAGATCAACATTATTATCTGATAAATGGACATAACAATCTGACAAGCCAACTTGTCAGAAAATGATGCGACTTCTCAGAAAAATGTACTTATTTTCCAAAAAAAGTATGTGGATTTTACAGATGTTATGATGACAAGCACACATTAGATGTCAGTAAGTTGCTTAAACATGCTGTATAAACAAGATGTTCTAGGTCGTGATGATTTTTATCTTAAAAGTCGACAAATGACAAGTTGACATACAGTTGGTGTACATGTATAGGTCTGACAATTCAACATAAACATCTGACAAGTCGACATTAACAACTGACAAGTGGTGGCAGGAATGCATGTATGCCACAGTAAAAGATAAATATGACCATAAATATATTTCATGTTCAGTTTTTTTAATATTGACGAATGTCCTATAGAAATACATAGTTAGTCAAAAGGCTAGTATATTACAATGTACAGAGATGATAATGTTTTAAGGAATGATGTGGCATATTAAAAGTTTGAATTGACAGAATGGTACTGTTTGTTTAGCTGTTGTTTTGCAATGAACATAATTTTCCGCATGTAGTGGGTACGAATTATTCTATTAAAAGGTGGACTGAATATGTTATTTAACATACTCGGTAATAATAATAGTTAAAAATAGTAGTTAATAATAATAGTTAAAAAAATCATGACGTACCAAAGGGTTTAAACCCTTTGGTACGTCATGATTTTTCTAACTATTATCTTGAAGATCAAGTGTTAATTAAAATTAATGTGCATGGAAGAATTTTTATTTACAAACTAAAGGGTTCTAAATCATAACCAAGCACCCAGTATATAAAAAAGAGGCCCATGGGCCACATTGCTCACCTGAGTACTTGGATAATGTAGTTCTTAACCAGATTTCCCCTCTTGTTATACCTATTGTAGCCCCCTACCCCCTCCCCCGTCATGATTTTATATCTAGAATCTACACTACCCCGGGATGCTTCCACATAAGTTTCAGCTTTCCTGGCAAAGTGGTTCTTGAGAAGAAGATTTGGATCCCCTATTGTGGCCTCGCCCTACCCCCGGGGTAATGTTTTAAACAAAGTAGAAACTACACTTCCCCAGAATGCTTCCACATAATTTTCAGCTTTCCTTGGCCCAGTGCATGGTTCTTAAGAAGAAGATTTCTAAAGATTTTTTAATATAAATTTTTATCTAAAACTTGGGATTCCCTATTGTGGCCCCGCCCTACCCCCAGGGGTCATGATTTTAACAATTTAAATCTACAATCCCTAAGGATGCTTCCACGAGCTTTCCTGGCCCCGTGGTTCTTGAGAAGATATTTTGTCTTTTCCTGATTATCTCCCCTTGTACGGGGACTAGGCTCTTCATTTTAACAATTTAAACTCCCCTTTACCCAAGGATTATTAAGTTTGGTTAAAATTGTCCCAGTGGTTCTTGAGAAGAAGTTGAAAATGTCAAAAGTTTACAGACGGACGAACGACGGACATCGGGTGATCAGAAAAGCTCACTTGAACTTTCAGCTCAGGTGAGCTAAAAACTACAGCTGTTTCCTAGGTCAATACGATGATTTAGCCATCCTAGAGATGCAAAATTGACTGAGGGCAAAGGATCTATTGTACTTCGACTATTACTACATGTATATACCATTGTATTGTCTGAAAAACCGCAATGTTTATTTCATCATATGATTTGTTGATTAGGGGCAGATGATACAAAGTTTTATAAACTAGAGTGTTCCAAGAAACCCATGGGTCCTCTGCTTTGTGGCTTCATTAAAGTTGTAAATAAATTTAAGCGTGGTCAGCTTCTTAAAGGTCAAGTATAATATTTTTGTGAAAATTCATAATTATTCATTATTGTCCGCCTCTGGAGCAATATGAATGACATTCTGAGGTCTATTTATTTTTTTGTCACCAATTTCATCACTAACAATCGTTTAAACTTACCTGTGTGACAAGTGGATCATTTATTGTAAATCGCTTATCTCCCTTGTTGCGTGACGTCATCAGAGACAGCGTGAAATAGGAAGTGCATGCTATATTGCTGTGTTTGGAACATTATGGTTTGCGAGATGTTGCCATGTGGGCTTTTAACTGTACCAATAAATCGGAACAACACATGAGTATATATTTAAATTCTTACGCACCTGAAATTGAGGGAAATATGGACATTCAATTTAAAAAGAGATGGTTTTGAGCCCAATAAACACGAAACACTATAGATATAAGCGACATTATACATAGACCAGTTTAGGCTACATTTTAATTAATTAAAAAATTATCCCACAAATTTCTTGGTTTTATTTCAAATTTACGTTCAATAAATAATGTCATCAGGGCTCGGAAAGAAAGAAAAAACGCTTTTCTATGATTTTGTCTTAATGATTTAACTAAAATATTCTCTTTTAATTAAAACACATGTCCGTATCATTTTTATTCAATTTCTAATTGTTTTTAGAACACAGTTTTGAGTATGAACCTTCGTATACTGGAAAATGGCAGATCCTATGATTTGCTGTACTTGTTTTTTTCTTTCTGAAAGGTGTTTTCCTAAGTTTGGGAAATGAAACAAGTCAAAGATTAAAAGATCTGGCGAATATTGTTGATGTGACAAAGCATTAACTTTCTGTTTACCCCAAAACTCCTTTACTCTTCATGGCCTGTGGGTTTGGACGCTGTCAGGAAGAAATTTAATGTAGTGAATTCCTCATTCTGTTTCATTCCTCTCATAAACCTTTCAATTTTTTGGCAAATATTTTGCTTACTAGACTCCTCCAGAAATTTAACTACCTCCCTATATATGAATTTGAACAAAAAGACCGCTAATATTTAAGAAAATAAAACTGTTTTTGTCTTCTTGCAAATTTTTGCTCTTCTTAGGCCTTTGCAGTTTTGTCAAGTAAATCTTATTCTAAATTTGTTTTGAGGGTTTAACGCAAAATGGATTCAAGTTTCATGATCTGTTTGAATTTCAGAAAAACGTGGATAAGAACAATTTTTGATTTTTTAAAAGTAATTGTTTAGATTTTCTACACGCTCTCTTTTTCACTCATTTTTAAAAATATAGGGTGACCTTTGAGTATTAAACTATTTTACAATCAAATGTTTCTTTAAAGCCATCTGAACTACCCCCAAAATGATGTCTATCAAATTTGATATGTAGCTTAAAGTCAATAAAACATAATCAGTGAAAATTTGTTGAATTATCGCTAATTGGTTGTTGCATGTCCTTGTTGACAAGGACGGTACCCATTTTTGATGCCCATTATATAATTTTTGTTAATTGAAATCCACCTGTTCATGTGTGTATGAAACAGACATAAGTTGCTGTAAATTTCACATATTTCCTTAAGGTCTTCCGTTTCCAACGGAAGACCTTCTACTGATTCTGATGATTAAGATTATTAAGGTCTTTCGTCTTCAGCGGAAGACCTTCTTGTTTTTCTTAGGTTTCTTTTCCACTATTTTTATTAAGGTCTTCCGTCTTCAGCGGAAGACCTTATTGTTATTCTTCGGTTTCTTTTTCACTTTTATTATTATTGTTTTTTTCTTACCGATTTTGTGCACGCGATTTCTCGAAAACGGCTCAACAAAATCTTATGAAACTTTCAGGACGTATGGAACATCACTTGAACCTTATGCGTTTTTTTCGATGACGTCACCTCCGGTCTAGAGATATCGTCGATTTTCTGAATTTTAAGGGTCATTTTGTCCACAATTTTCCCGAAAAACTGCTCTAGATAGAAACTTCAAACTTTGAGGCTAGGTAGAGCTATGTTTGGAGAGGTGCATCAGGTATATCAAATTTACCGGAAATGACGTACGTCGGCGCTCGCTATGGCCCGAAAATTGACCTATCACAAATTTCAAAATTTCTCACACCTTTTCTTCGATATCTTTTTACCTGAAAATATTTTGTGAAGACATAAAGAACAAAAGATGTGTACAATTCCAAGATCTTTCAAATGATATCTAGAAAAAAGGGCTGGCCCCTAAAATTAAGGGCCTAGAGGGGCCGAACATTTTTTCTTTATATCTCAAAAAGTGTTGAGAATTTGTAATACGTCAAAGAAGCAAAGTTGTTCAAACTGTCAAGCTTTATCTAATGGGGTCGTCAAAATACGTCCGGCGACGTCACTTCCGGTCAAACCGGAAGTAGTCCAAATTGCATATTTTTGCTGTTTTGACAGGATTTTGGATATCATATGTCACTAGAAGCTTAAATCTTAATTTCCGTCCGTCGACGTCACTTCCGGTCAAACCGGAAGTAGCCAAAAATGGCTTAATTTAGTACTAATTAACATAGATTTGGAAAATTAAACCATTTTTGGACTTCATTTCTCTCTTTTTTTAAATGAAAGTTACTTCCGGTCAAACAGGACGGAAGACCTACTCGTTGCTTTGCAACGAGCTCGGCTCTAGTTATTGTTGTTTTTCTTACCGATTTTGTACGCGCGATTTCTCGAGAACGGCTCGATCGATTTTTATGAAACTTTCAGGTCTGATAGAACATCAAAAAATCTAGATATATTTTTTTTATTTTGATGACGTCACTTCCGGTTTGGAGATTTCTGCGATTTAGTGAATTTTAGAGGGTCACTTTGTCCGGCAGATTTCTCAAAAAGCACATAACACAGAAGCAGGAAATTTTCAGTGATGCTAGAGCAACCTTTGGAGAAGTGCACTAAGTATTTTATAACTACCGGATGTACGAAA